TGTCCTTCCTAGTTGGTTCGGTCTCGTGTTTGAGAATTATGAGTCACGATTCAAGATTAAGTATGCAAAGGTCAAGGATCCACGCCGCACAATAAAAAATGATGAAGGCTTGAAAAAGAAAAACCTCACACGGTTTAAGAAAAAACTTACTAAATTTGTCAAATCCACCAAAGGAAGCAACTCCGTCTTACCACAAGCCAAAAGAATCCGGTTTCAAGGCCCCAAAAGGTCTAAACCGCTACCTTAGCATACCCTATCCTAGAGTCAACCAAAGATACTCTCAAACCGTGCAAACCATTTTTTTTAGGAAGAAAAATAGCCAATGTGCAAATTCAAGTGGTACTAAGTCAAAAGTAAAAGTAAAAAGATGAAGAAAGAAAAGCAATGCCTCAAATTCATTTTATTCATATTTACAAATACAAATTTTGTTATATATATATATATATATATATATATATATATATATATATATATATATATATATATACATATATTTACACACACATACATACATATACATACATACAGTATATATATATGTATGTATATGTGCATATATATACATACATACAGTATATATATATGTATGTATGTATATGTGTGTATATATATATATGTATATATATATATATATATATATATATATATATATATATAGAAGTAGAAAGCAACAAGGAAGTAATGCTAACACACATAAATCTCAATCAACAAACAAGTGAACATTCGGTCACAACGCCAATGTTCCCAAACACACTAGGGTGTTAAAAAGCAAACAACCTCGAACCATTCATCTTCTCCTAGAACTAATCCTAGACTAAGCAACCAAGAAAAGAAAAAGAACAGAAATAGAAAAATCTCACCGGGCGCCAAAGCAATGCTATATTAAACAAGGCAAAAGAGCACCTTTACGAATTGTTAAAATTCGATGCATAAGCAATAGAGCAAAGTGAGAAATAAAAAACTATATACAAAGAAAATTGTTAGTAACTTCAATACAAAAGAAAAGAATAAAAGAGAAAATAAGATGCATGAAAATAAAGAAAAAGCAAGTAATAATAGCAACATGAATAGAATCAAATGAGTATATGAAGCAGAATCATCAGACTAAAGCAGTATCAGGAGACAGGGTAGCAAAAAATCATCATCAAGAATCATCATAACAAAGAAACGGAGAAACTCAGCAGACAATGATCAGCGAAACAAACAACAAAACCAATAATCGGGTACAGAAATCAGCAGAAGTACAGCATCATCATCATAAAACCAAAAGACACAGAGATCAATACTAAAACCATATGAGACAAATGACAAATGAACTATAAAAGCGAGGGGGGAAACGGTGAAGCACAGAAACAAATGACATAGAGCACCCCCAAGCTAAAAATATACTACCCCCCTAACTCTAAACCTAAAGACATATAGGCAATAGAGAAACATCATATAAAGCACATAAGAAGGGGGGTAACCATGGTGGTAACACTCCGCACTATGGTAAGGGGTAGAATGAGAACTCCCCTCACTGGTCTCCATCATATGACTAGAGCTAGTCATCTCGCTCACCTCCATGGGATCCTTACCCCTTAACTTACCTTCCTTCCTAGCTCTATCAACTTTAAAATAATGAGACCAATCATCTAAGATTAGCTCACCCGACCTACCCCACCTACCAAAAGTCTCGTGGTCCAAAAAGGATGAAGGGTTTGCTGGATCATATGTATAATCACAACCACTGGGCCGCATATAGTCGTAAGTGGTCGAGGTGGTGCCTATGATAGAACATCAGGGCCCTCCCAATAAGGGTAGCAAGGCCTAAGACCCACGGTAGGATCAAAAGGCTCCCATTGGGTGATAGGTCCTTGTTGGATCGAGAGATATGGGTATTTCATATAGGGATCGATCTTCACCCTCCGAACATGTAAATCTTACAATTGATTTGTATGATAGCCATAACCAAGATAAGGGTTTTGCATTGAAGGCATAGAGCATAACACATTAGCAATAGAATCAAGCCTAGCATGAATGGTTGACAAATCAAAAGTAGAAGGAGTAGGAGAGGGGAAAGGAATAGGCGTGCCTCCCGGTTCAACCGGGGGAAGAGTTGGAGCATTCGATGAGAAGGCATTGGTTGAGCGGCCTCTTGTGTGGTTCGTCCTTTGTCGAATAGAAGGATCAATATCTCGCACCGGAGGCCTCAAAGACATAGAATCTTTCTCCTTAGGTCGGGTAGTTGCCTCTTTGCATGGGATTAGGAACCATTCCTTAATCCAGGAAACTTACCAAATGAAAACATCATCCTTTCTAGTGAGATCGAGGAACTTTTGGTTCACAAGGGCGGAGATGTTGAGGAAATGAGAAGAAGACTGATCTCGAGGATCGATAATTAGGGGAAGCTCATTTAGCAAAGTCTTATAGTCCTCATTGATGCAAAGAGATAGGATAGAAATCATCCCTCCCAATTGGATGATCCCCGATAGGCTAACTCTATCATGGATATCCAAAAATCGATTGATCAAATGCTCCTTGAAATCCACTAGCTCAATCACAAAGTCGTTTTGGTCTGCTATCCACAACCAACAAAGCTCCTCTCGGGAGATAGTTCCCAAAGAGTCCTTGGAGCAATGAGCGTAAGTGAGGATATGGTTGAAATACCGCATAACCGGATGAATCATGGAAGCGGTCTAGGAATTTTGAGGGTCATACTTTCCTTCCTCTGATATACTTCTCCACCAACGTTGCTCATTATATCCATGGTCACTTGCCATTTTACTATGTGCCGGATAGATACAATGATCTGGATTTGTAGCCCATGGAAACTTGAAGTATGAACATAGTTGAGAATCCGTCAATGTCTGATCATTGTTGAAAAGTTAAAAAGTCAAAATCCTTGAGGAATTTTCACCCGGTTCTCGGACTACTTCAAGAGAAGAAAGAAATTCATAGGTCACCCTGGCATAAGTAGGGCCGCTCAAATCCAAAAACTCTAAGAGATCAAGGCACTTTTCAAGAAGGCAAACGTCCTTATCAATTTCGAGAAACTTGGTTATTGCTTGATCGTAAAATCTTGTTGGTCTTAGCTTTCTCTTGGATACACGCTTGAAACGATCCCAATGTGATTCTTTAGAAAATTCAATTTCGTATGTCTCTTCTACCTCGGGTGGAGGTGGAACAACATGCCTAGGTTTGCTTGAACTTGATCTTGCTCGCTTCTTTTGACGGATTGGAGCCATCTACCTGAAGGAAACAACTCATGAGCAAAACGTAACATTTGACATATTTCAAGAATAAGCATAAGTAATTGCTCAAAAATCAAGCACAAATGCAATTGTCTCAAAATAGAAGCACGAGATGGCTACATATGAACAATGCCATTAATATAGAACCATGAAGTTGAAGCAAGTAGGCATGGATTAAAGGAAAAATTGAACACCAGAGACCAAATCATGACTTAAATTGAGCAAAATAATCTCAAGCATTGAATTATTACAGAAATAAAACTATTATAAAGAATACCCATGAGAGAGAAAATGACCAACAATGGTGATTCAAGTATTCAATCAAATTATGCGAATTCATCAAGGAAAAGCTTCAATTTAACACTCAATGACATCATTCAACACCAATTACAAGTTAAAAGAACTAACAATGGAGTTCTACCATCAAAGCAGAAACAAGGGTTTCAAGCTTGAACAATGAGGAAGAAGATGACTAGAAAATAAGAAATTATACATCAATGAAGCCTTGAATTACTTGTAAATTGCCCAAAATGAAGATTTAAGAACAAATAAAACAACCAAAGACAAGTTCCAAACCTCAACACAAAGCTTTGAGATTGAAAAAAAAAACCCAAAAATTTTGAATTTGAGTTCGAAAATCTGGAAAAAAAAAAAAAAAAAAAAGGTTAAAATTCGAATATTTGATGTGTGAATTATAATTTGATGCTAAAATGAAAATAAAATAGGTGAATTGGTTTGATTTTTGCAAGAGAGGAGTAAGGGTTTGATAAAGGTGGGATTTTGGGGTAAACTCGGGGAGAGAGAAAGGAGAAATAAGGGGGGTGCGCTTTTGGGTTTATAAGGGGGAAGGGGCGCACCTGACGGCTGGTGCGTGCAGGCTGGTCTATGGTGAGTGCGCTAGGGGGTGATTTTTGCTTCAAATTCCTGACCTCTGTGGTGCGTATGCGCGGGTATATGGAGCGCGCGCACCACAAGCAGCTCGGGGAGGGACTAAATTCATGACAAAAAACCGAAAAATGATGCCAAAATCTTTGACCCCTGTGGTACGTGCCCGCGGGTGTGGTGTGCGTGCGCACCATAGGGTGATCAAGTTTGTTTAAAAATCCGGCAAGAATTGAGCAAAAGGTTAGAGGAAACACCCTTAATTATGCTTTCGTGTTTGCATTCTCACCGGCGCAATCAAGTGTCATGATCAAGTACTAAAAAATTTCACAAAAAATAATCCAACATATACTTGACCATGAATAAAAATCAATGAAAATGCAAACATGATAACATGTAAACCCAACGAACTCCTTCCCCTAAGCTTAACCAAATCTTATGAAATCTTGAAGTAACACCAAAGTTGTTGGAAATTTTCTTGGATCCAATCTCATGGTACCTAAAATCAAGAGAAAAAACAAAAACAAAGAGAAATAACAAAAGTTCTCAAAGATAAAAGAAATATAGAAAATTGTAAAATCAAAAGAGAAAGGTTAGAAAACCAGGTTGCCTCCCGGGTAGCACTTGTTTAAAGTCATAGCTCGATGTCTCCACCAATTAAGGTGGTTGTCAGAGAAGAAATGAGTGAACAGGGTAAACAAAAGCACCATCAAAATACTTCTTGAGACGATTGTCATTGACCTTAAATGAAAAAGAAGAATCCATCATTGAGACCTCTACAACACCACTTGGAAAAACACTCTTAACAAAATAGGGACCGCTCCATCTTGACATGAGATTTTCGGGAAACAACTTCATCTTTGAATTGTAGAGAAGAACTTTATCTCAAACACAAAACTCTTTCTTCTCAATAAGCTTGTCATGTGCTTCCTTGGAACGAGATTTGTACACACTAGCACAATCATAAGCATCAAGCCGAAGCTCCTCTAGCTCATGAAAATCCAACCACCTTTTCTCCCCCGCACTTGCCAAGTCAAAGTTTATTTTCTTGATAGCCAACAAAGCGCGATGTTCAATTTTAACTGGTAGATGGCATGACTTGCCATAGTCTAGGTGGTATGGAGTGGTACCTATGGGGGTCTTGAAAGCTGTTCGATAGGCCCACAGAGCATAATCCAATTTTTCCGACCAATCCTTTCGATTTCTCGCAACCGTCTTTTCAAGGATGAGCTTGATTTGACGATTAAAGACATACACTTGACCGCTTGATTGGATATTATATGGGAGGACAAATATTTGATGGACTCCATTATTCCTCAACATTTTTTGAAAGGCATGGTGAATAAATTGAGATGTTGTCGCTTATCACCGCCTTCAGTACCCCAAATCTTGGAAACATTGTCTTCTTAAACAACTTCATAACCACCTCGTGGTTGTTAGTTGGGGAGGTAATGACCTCGACCCACTTAGACACGTAGTCAACCGCCACAAGGATATATTGATTGCTGAAAGATGAGGGAAATGGCCCCATAAAGTCAATATCGCATACATCAAACACCTCTAACTCGAGTATGGGTTGTTGAGGCATTTCATTTCTCTTTCAGATGTTCTCAACTCTTTGACATCGGTCACATGTCTTTACGAAGCCCCATGAGTCCTTAAAGAGATGTGGCCACCATAAACCGCATTGAAGGACCTTAGTGGCGGTCTTAGAGACACCCATATGGCCCCCACTTGGATTCGAATGGCACATTTTCAAAACACTAGGCACCTCTTCGTTTGGCACACAACGTCTAAGTAAGCCATCGACCTCTTGCTTGTATAAGATGGGATCATCCCACACATAATGCCTTGCCTCTCTCTTAAGCTTCTTTCTTTGGTTCTTAGAAAAGGAAGGAGGAAACTCCCCCACATGAAAGAAAGTTCACTAAATCGGCAAACCATGGGAGCTCCTTTGCTTCAATAGCATACAAGAAGTCATCAAGCATCCTATCCTCAATTGGAGAACCATCATCATGAATTTAAGAATCTTATAGACGAGAAAGATGGTCCGCCACAACATTTACCGCTCCTCTTTTATCCCTAATCTCAATGTCAAAGGTTTGGAGCTCAAGAACCCACCGGATCAACCTTGGCTTGGACTCTTTCTTGGCAAAAAGATACTTGAGAGCCGCATGATCCATGAAGAAAATGGTCTTGGAACCCAATAGATAACAATGAAACTTCTCAAAAGCAGGAATTATAGCCAAGAATTCCTTCTCCGTTGTAGTGTAATTCCGTTGAGCTCCATTTAGAGTCTTGGACATATAATAGATCACATGAAGTTTCTTGTCCACTTTTTAACCCAAGACACCTCCTATTGCCGAATCACTTGCATCACACATCAACTAAAATGGTAAATCCCATCTTGGAGCTTGAACAATAGGGGTAGAGATTAGATCTTTCTTCAACTAATTCAATGCCTCCAAAGACTTATCATCAAATACAAACTTAGCATCTTTTAGAATAAAATCATTTAGGGGCTTTGCAATGAGCGAGAAATCCTTGATGAATCTTCTATAAAACCCGGAGGTAATAGCTTTTTAATAACTTCAATTTTAGATTTATCCACCTCTATCCCCTTGTGAGAGATCTTGTGGCTAAGGACTATGCCTTCCTCCACCATGAAGTGACATTTCTCCCAATTCAAAACCAAGTTCACCTTCTCACACCTTGCAAGACATTTTTCAAGGTTTTCAAGGCATGCCTCAAATGAAACACCTCCCACGGAGAAGTTATCCATAAAAACCTCCATCTCCTCTTCTAACATATCCCCAAATATGCTCATCATGCATCTTTGAAATGTCGCGGGAGCATTGCAAAGGCCGAACGGAATTCTCCTATAGGAAAATGTACCATAAGGACAAATGAAGGTTGTTTTCTCTTGGTCATCCGGGTTGATAGGAATTTGAAAAAATCCCAACTAATCATTAAGAAAACAATAGAACTTGTGTCTTGTTAGTCTCTCAAGCATTTGATTAATAAAAGGAAGGGGGAAATGATATTTCTTTGTAGATGTGTTTAGACGTCTACAGTCTATACGCATCCTCCATCCTGTGACCGTCCTCGTCGAAATGAGCTCACCTTTCTCATTCCAACTACGCTCATACCTCCCTTCTTTGGGACAACGTGAACGGGAGAAACCCACCTAAAACTAGAAATGGGGAATATGACTCCCGCATCCAAAAGTTTGGTGATCTCCTTCTTCACTACCTCTCCAATTTAGGGATGTAGCTTTCGTTGCCTCTCAATGGATGGTAAAGCACCCTCCTCAAGAGTTATGTGATGTGTACATAAAGCAGGGCTTATAACTTTGACGTCGTCAATGGTATAACCCAAAGCACTTTGGTGCTTTCTCAAAACACAACACAACTTTTGAGCTTGGTGCTCACTTAAAGAAGAGCTAACAATCACAGGAAAAGTGGAGTTGGGTCCCAAGAATTCATACCTAAGGTGTAATGGAAGAGGTTTGAGCTCAACCATTGGAGCATCTTTACCTTCCTTCTATGTTTCCATTTGCAACGCTTCTTAGCTAGAAATTCTCATGCACACATGCTCGTCCACTTCCTCGATGCTTCCATTAAGCAAATCCTCATACATTGCCATTTCCTTGATAGGAGCACCTATCTTATCTTTATTCAACAAGACATTCTCAAGAGGATCATTAGAAGTGAGCAAGTGCTCATGCATGGAAGACACAACATGATCAAGAGAATTAATCATCATGCAATCTTCTAAAGAAAACATGGATACTTCATGCTTTCACTCAAGTCCAATTCAATGGCCTCATCTCCTACCTTAAGTGAAATTTTTGCACTCTTAACATCAATCGTTGCACCCTATGTAGCAAGAAAAGGTCTACCAAGAATAATAGGAATGGTAGCGTCTCCATCCATTTCAAGAACTACAAAATCCACTGGAATCACAAACTTCCCTACTCTCAAAGGAACATCCTCAACCTTACCCTTTGGAAATTTGATTGACCTATCGGCTAATTTCAAGGTAATGTTAAAAGGAAAAAGTTCCCCTAATTCAAGTCTTTGATAGACCGAATATGGAATTAGGCTAACACTAGCTCCGAAGTCACATAAGGCATTATCAATTTGAATCTTGTTAATGGCACAAGGGATAGAGAAGTTTCCGGGGTCTTTCAACTTGGGTGGAATCTTGTTCATTATGATTGCACTACAATTCTCGGTAAAGTTGACCGTCTCTACAACATCACAAGTCCTCCTACCACTCAAAATGTCTTTGAGGAATTTTGCACAGTTGGGCATTTCTGTGACAACTTCGGTAAATGGTAGAGAAAGGTGAAGTTGCTTGAGCATGTCAATAAATCTTCCAAATTGTTCATCTAGCTTGTGTCTCATGTACTTTTATGGATAAGGAATCGTGGGTTTCAAAAATTCTTTCTCTACTCTCACCTCTCTAGGTGTCTCAATCACAACCTCACTCAAAGATGCACCATCTCTCTCATCCTCCACCAAGACGTCCTTAGGGACTTCCTTAGTTTCACTCTTCCTAGGCAAACTCTCCTCAAGAACCTTAACATTCCTTGTAACAATAGCATTAACGGGTCTCTTGGGATCTAGGCCTTGGGAAGGTAAAGAAGAAGGACTAGCATGGTATTTCAAAGCATTGGCAAGTTGAAAATTTTGGTTTTCAAGCATCTTATTATGAGTCATCATTTCATTAAATTTCTTGTCACTTACGGCCATGTAAGTGTTCAACAACTTTGTTTGATTCTCAATGATTTCCTCCAAATTAGACCTAGAGGAAGAGGATTGTGAATAGGAATTATCACCTTGAGTCTTTGGAACAAATCCGGGTGGAGGGCCTCTTTGAGCATTGTTTTAAAAATCCTCTCTACCTTGATTGTTCCAATTACCCCTATTTTGATTTGGCCCATAACCTTGATTATGGTTACCACTACTTTAATTATAATTTCCATAACCTTTGGTTTTGATTACCATAATTTTGGTTTTGATTTTGGCTACTATAACCTTGATTGTTATAGTTACCTCGAGAACCTTGGTTCCCTTGGTTCCTATAACCACCACCTTGGTTATAGTTGTCAAAATTACCTTGGTTTTGGTAATTCCTATTCCATTGACCCTTTTGATTATCAAACCTTTGCACATTATTGTTTGATACATAGCTCACATGATCTCTCTCATTGTTATCAAAATCATCATTACTATCCAGAAAAGCATGAGGGAAATTACTAGCATCATGATCATATAAACCACACACATCACAAAACAAACAACCACTAGGCATATTGCTAGAAGAAAGAGGGGGATTAGAGTTAGAAGATGTACTTCTCCCCTTGAAATGGGAAGGAAAATTTGAAGCTTAGGAAGAAAAACTCTCCAATTTTTCCTTTATTGCAATCATTTCCTATCCCAAGTTCATCATTTGTGAGGAGATCGAGATTGTTGATTGCATTTAGATGATCAAACGAGTACACCGAAGAGCTACTCTTGCTAGTTGAATCCCTCTCACCATCTTGCCAATCTCTATAGTACCTCACCACATCCTCAATGATGTCTACCACTTCTTCTTCCGTCCTATTCATGATGGGACCTCAGGCTTCTCCATCAAGGCATGACTTGCCTTGGGGACTTAGGCCTCCGTAGAAAATTTTAATAATTTGATAGGCTGGAATTTCGTGGTGAAGACACTACCTTTGATACTTTTTGTATCTCTCCCACGCTTCATAGAGGCTCTCACTTGGCTTTTGTTTGAAACCTTGAATCAAAGCTCTAGCCTCCGCCGTTTTCTTTTGTGGATAGAAACGGGATAGAAATTCCTTGGTAACCTCGTCCCACGTCCTTAGAGAGTTCGGCTTAACCTCCTTGTCTAGTCATTCCAAAGCACGCCCTATGAGAGAAAAGGGAAAGATCTTGAGGCGGATGAATTCTTAGGAAACTCCGTTCACCTTGATGGTATTACAATATTTTTCGAACTCCTTGAGATGGTTTAGTGGGCTTTCATGCTTGGCCCCACTAAATTGTCGCCTCTCTATCAAAGTGATCATTGCCGGCCTAATTTCAAAATCATTTGCCGATGTTGTAGGTGGAGCAATTCCACTCTCAAATCTATATGCACCGGGAATTCACAATTCTTTCAATGCCATTCTCGGATTCTCTCCCATTCTTGCTTGTACTTCTAGTTGTGGTTCTTCCTCACTTGAAATGCTAGAGCTCAAAGATCGTCTAGCAACCCTTAATCTTGTAATAGTCCTCTCAATATCCTGATCAAATGGCACTAGTGAATGACCACGTTCTCTATGCATATAAATTCAAAAGAAATTATTCGTAGCACGGCTACAAGTGTAGCCTAAAAGAGAAAAATCCTTTTGTTTTTTTTTCAATTAAGAATGAATTAGACTCAACAACTATAACTAAGAACCAATATCATTCCTCAGCAACGGCGCCGTTTTGACAAGAGGAAAATGAAGGTCGTTATCTACCTCTCCCTAGAACCAAACCTAATTTGTAAACACTCGACCAACCTAATATAAGTACGTGATAGTCAAGGGTCGAACCCAAAGGAATGAGTAGGTACGATGCTATATTCTACGTCAAGCTAATTTGAAAAATATAAACGGTTGTGGTTGGTAACTAAAGTATCAAGAAGATAGACAAATCTAAGAATTCAATATGCTAAACACTAGGGATATAGGTTCCACATGCAAGCTCAATTATTATGCTAATTGATAGATCATTTAATTGATTCAAACATTACAAGGGACAAACAATAGTTGCAATCAAAGGAATCCAAAAGCTACCTCCTATAAGTCAAGCTAGGGTTCACTATGAATGGCTACCAAGGAAAATCACAATCAAATTCAATTAATTAAAGCAATTCTCAAATCAAGGGTTCCTGTCATTGAAATTTGCAATGCAATCTAGATTAATCTTATTAATTGATCACTTCTACTTTAATTAATCACATGCACAACTATGTCAACCAATTTAATTGCAATAATCCAATCAATATAGTATCATCAACTAGCAAAAATCATCAATAAAGCATGCTTCCCCTTCTCCCTAGCAATTAATCTACTCACTAATCATGGTGAAATTAAGAAACAAAACAAATTCAATCAAATTCATATTCATTTAAAAGCTTAATCAAAAAGAAAATCAATCAATCAACTCTAGAGCTAGGAATGTAATCTCAATTAAAATTCAAGAAACTAGAAAGAATTGCATTAAAAATAAATCAAAGGAAATAAATCTTACAAACTTTCATTGAATTGAAGAAGGAATTTCAAGATCCAATTGAAATCTAAGATCAAATTCAAGTACAAACAAGTAAATCTTAAGCTTCTCTCTCTACTTTCTCTCTCTATTATTTCTGGAAAATTATATCTAAAGTACAAAAGTTAAGTCGTCTTAAAAAAAAGAAAGTCAAAAGCTATAAATAGAAAAATTGAGCGAAGGGGCTACACAGGGTCGTGCAGACGCACCACCAACCACGCGCGTGCGCGCAGATGCGCACAGCTGGGACTGCGCGCACGCACCCCAGTGTCGCACGCGTGCACCCCTATGTGGTGCACGAGGCCTTGGCTCCTTGCTTTGCTTGATCGAACTCCGTGCTCCCGAGCATCCCCATCACCAGTACACTCGAGATGATTCCCGCAAGCAAGGAAGCCCCAAAATGAGCAAATTGACTTGATTTTTCGCCTACAAAATACAAATAAAACAAAGAGAGAAAGCATAAAAAAATAAAAAAAATAAAAACTAAAACTATGAATTATCAACTAAAAATATAAAAAAAAACTCGTAAAAACTAATCGACAATCAAAGTGAATTATAAAAATGGAAAATCAAATAAAACTAAGAAAATTATATGAAAATGATGAAAGAAAATAAATAAAATGAATCAAAATCTTATTCTTTTGAGCGCCATAAATGACGCTCATCATAAACCAATATCTGCTCAGTAGCGGCAATATTCATGAGGGGCAAGCTATTTTAGCATCTTTCATGGAGCAAATTGAGTCAGGTAGAACTCTAATGCCTTTAATCATTGGAGAAATTATGCTTGGTTTGGATGAATTAAAAAAGAATCCAAAAGCACCTCTTCGAGGTTCTCCAATATTATTGCAGGTAGAAAATCAATACTTTTAATTACAAGAATCAAAATTATTTAACTTTGTATAGTAATAATAATTATTTTTCATTGAATTTTTACAGATGTGGCTAATGGATAGGCTTGAATTAATTATCCCTCCTGACAATGTTGATAACTATACCCCAAATTACTTTGTAAGACGGAAGAAACGCTTTTCCATAAAGATGGGCCGCCGAAAGTGGAGTAGGATCTTTGAAACTTGCGACTTTACCATCAAGTGGGTCGTTCCTTGGTGAAAAATTGAGAAGATGGTTGGTGGCAATAGCCAACCTTTTTTTCGTCCTTCTAGCTTGTTAAAGTTCACTTTTTGTTACCCTTCTAGGATGAGAAGACAATATGGTCTTGCTCAAAGTGTTTCATCTGGTGATCTTCATCGTCCCTATGATTTTCTTGTTTCATAGGATGTAGAGAGATTTGATGATTATTGGTGTGCTAGAACTTTATGGGAAGTTGTTACCCAAAAGATCCCACCTTCTTTATCTATGGATATGAAGCAATGGCTACTTGGTAGATCTCTAAAGGATAAGAACAAGGCTCAGAAGCTGAGTAAGACCAACGTGAAAGACCGCCTAGGGGACAAGAAAATTCCTCATAAGGAGCGTTTGGGTGAAAGAGTTGAATTCAAGACTCCTGTTATGCCTAAGAAGAAAAGTTCTACTAAAGTTAAAGAGAAAAATAAAAGTTGACTCTACAGAAAAGAAAGTGTGGGTTGAAAAGAAGCACGGTGTAATGGCTATTGGGAACCATCAACACCAAGATTGAGTGTAGATCTTCAAAAGGATATTTACTAGCAAAAGTGATGGATGATGAAGAGGAAGCGGACAAGAATTGGAAAAGAGTGAAAAAGAGAAGATAGATTAGACCATTGCTTTACTTTCAATTAATTAGACAAATTTAATTTTTTTTCAATTTAAGTTTTAAGCTTAATTTAAAATTCCATCAAAAATGTAATTTTTTATTCTATTATTGCAATTTTCAGCTCTTTAAATTAACTTTTTTCATTTAAAATTCTATTGAAGCAATGAAAACGTCTTGAATTATTCCATAAACTATTCGATAATGGAAGTAAAAAATTTCCAAAAAACACCGAAATTCGCCTAGATTAATGCAGAATGTCTAGCGCTGCAATTTTGACTTTGTTGTCATCCTGAGAAATTCTCGCGATGCGCTGCTTCAAGTCGTTATGCGACAGCTGTGGCGTGTCGTGCTGGACTTAACTCTTGTG